GGTTGTGTCATTAAATACCTGGGAAATGAAAGACGCATTTTGAGGCTTCATTTGAAGGAGCCTTCGAATTTTTCTAAAATGAGCCTTTGTCGTGCCCACCATCCTTCGGAGGATGATGCTTGCTTTGTTCAGGTTTGGTTGCTAGGTTACCAATTCTACAGTCAGCCACTCTAACAACTCGATGGAAAGGTACAGTCTAGATCGAAAAACAAAGTCAGCCGGAAGTGGGATATGCACATCAATATAGCAGCATTTTTATGACACTGTATAACAATAATTCATATTTTTACAGTACTGTTAAGGTTGGGGTGGGGGTAGGCGTTAATAAAATACAATTTATTGGATAATTTAATAGCATAAATAATACTCAGCTACTGTTTTTATGTTACTGTGACGGTTGGGTTTAGGGTTGAGGGTAGACGTTAATAAAATACAATAAATGGGAAATTTTATAAATAATTCTAGTTAATTTCCGGCCGCAGCTGTATCTGATCTTGCAACAACCTAATTCACATTATTTTTTTGGTTTGTTTAGTGCAAACTTTGTAAAGGTTTGTGGTCCCACTTTATATTAAGTGTCCTTAACTACTATGTACTTACATAAAAAAATAAATACAATGTACTTACTGTGTTCATAAAGTATTTGAGAACACTTGTGGTGCTCTTGAGTTGGGATAGGGGTTGGGTTAGGGACAGGTTTGGTGGTATGGGTAGGTTTAGGGTGGGTTAAGGTGTAAGGGATGGCCAACAGTGTATTTACAAATGTTATTACAGAAGTTAATTACAGATGTAATTACATATAGGTATTTAATCAAGCATAAGTACACAGTAAATACATGTATTTACACAAAAAGTACATTGTAACAATCAGTTAATTCCTATGTAAGTACATTTTAGTTAAGGACACTTAATATAAAGTGGGACCAAAAAAAAAAAAGGGTAACCCTAGTCCTAGACTAAAATGTAAGTCTGAGCTGTTTCAACTGAAATAAAATTGCACTGATTGATTTTTAAATATATTAGTGCCTTTGTTTTGTCTCAAGATGCACACCAGTAATGTCTTTTTTCTAAGCATGTTTATAAAAATTTCTTAAATGTCCTAATTGAACTATGGCTTCATCCTGGCTATAGTCTAATCCCTGTCTGTGAAATCGGGCCGTAGAGTGACATGGGGGGAAAAAAAGTTTCCCTAAAATCTGAACAAAAGTGCCACATTTGAATGTCCAGATGCATCCATAAGACAGAACTCTAGTATAATGAGTGTTCATCAGGACATAGTGTGTACAAGTAACCAGTAGTTTGCTATCAGGAAGCGTAATTTTTTTCTGACATGCTGTTAAGAAATTGCTCTTCCTACGAGCCCACGCGGAAAACCAAGATCATTCAGAGTGTCTAATGGGGCGGGATGGATTCATTTCACACCTATGGAAGTAATGCAGCGCCATTACAGCGTCTTAATGGACACAATGGTCCGTAATGGATTCTGAACAGTGTGCTTTTTTTGTCAAAATGATGAAGGATTTAACCAGTCTGCTTTCGGCGATGTGAAAGACGGGCTGGTTTTTGGTTTAGCGAGTGCACAACATCACGAGCGTCGTTCAGCTAATTGTCTCCTCCTTGATGCTGATGAGCCTGATTGCTCTGTAATTATGATAATGAAGACAAACACTTAGTTGCCTCTTTCATTTGGGTTCGTATCATCCGCTGGGACGCAGCTGCTAAAATGTGGCCAAGAATCTCTACAGTTGTCTTCAACTCATTGTGCTGCTTCTTTTGTTTCGCCTGTGTAAATACTCTATCGCAGTGGTTCTCAAACTTTGGTACGTGTACCACTAGTGGTACGCAGGCTTCCTTCTAGTGGTACGTGGATATTTCAAATGTGTCATACGTATACGCTCCATATATTTCACAATTTATCAAAAATGCTTTATATATGAATATGACATATAATAATATTTATTATTTGACATATAGCCTATATTTCTGAGGTCCAGGCAACATTTCCAGGTGTTCATGAATTACCTACTATATGCTAATACTTTAGATTTAAGTATAGCACTTTTCTTTTTACTTTTTATCAACATTAACCTACCATTTTTAAATTTTAAAAGCACATTTTAATTTTAAATGTTGACATTTTTAGTTTGTTTGTTTGTTTTTTACATATAAGCGTTAACGTTCAGACTATTTATAATGTTTAAAATGGCTGACAATAATAAATATTCTTAATAATAGGAATTAATCTGCCACGTTTTAGAACTGTGCAGAGCTGTAGCTGCTTTACTGGGCTTACTACGCCACTGTATTTCAATACTGCTCATTATGGTGGTACTTGGAGAGACAATTTTTTTCTGAGGTGGTACTTGATGAAAAAAGTTTGAGAATCACTGCTCTATCGTATCGGCCAATTTATTGTGGCAGAATGTCTCATTTCGCAATAGGAAAGGGTGAGTTGGGAGAGTTTTGGGCCCCTGTTCTGAATTAATAGCTTGGCCTGCAGGAGGCCGACTCGTCTGTCTTAATAACGCAGCAGATGAAGTCTGTGAATGAGAGAGCTATTTGCTTTTCGTTTAGCAAAACTGCTGCTATGTGTCGAGCGGTTATGAGCGCAGTGTTTACAGCTGTAGGACTGGGTTCAGCTGGATGCCAAGCAGTTTGTTTATGCCACTGGCCTTAAACCATTTACACTAGACGACTACTGTCATATGACGCCGTTCCTAAAGGTATCACTGACAGGCTGTCACCATAGCAACATTTCAAAGGCTGATACCAATAGTGAAATTTGATAAGCGTTAATGTATATAATAAAATGAACTGCTTTTAGGGCGACACGCAGTGGTTAGCACTGTTGCCTCATTGCAAGAAAGTCGCTGGTTTGAGTCCTGGCTGTGTCAGTTGGCAAACCTGTCTGGAGTTTGCATGTTCTCCCCGTGTTAGCGTAGGTTCCCTCCGGGTGCTTCAGTTTCCCCCACAGTCCAAACACATGCGCTATAGGTGAACTGAATAAACTAAATTGGCAGTAGTGTATGAGTGTGAATACTTGTGTATGGATGTTTCCCAGTTTTGGGCTGCAGCTGGAAGGGCATCCACTTTGTAAAACATATGCAAGATTAGTCGGCGGTTCATTCTGCTGTGGCGACCCCTGATGAATAAAGGTACTAAGCCGAAGGAAAATGAATGAATTAATGAATAAAATGACACATTTTATGAATTTACACAATCAAAAATACAATCAAAACATAATCAAAAATACATTTTAAATAATATATAACATAAATTGTAACTAATTTATAATTTAATCGAAACATTCTATATGTATATTAATTTATTTGCATAAGTGTTTCATAACTTTTCATTCGTTTTTATGTAATTGCCTGAAATGTTGTTTACGTAAATTATATTATTATTTTATTACTAATATTTGTATTTCTGATTTATCTTTGTTATGAAGAATATTTAAAGAATTTATATATATATATAAAGTAACAAAAATAGCAAAGTTATGAAGCAAAAAATTTTTTTTTATTGCAATTATTGTTTTTTTAGGATCAGTATAGTAGTGAAAAAAAAATTGTCAGTGGTGGAAAGAGTACTGAAAATCATATTTAAGTATAAGTACCATAACTTGCCCAAAAATGTGGTGCATGTTGAGTAAAAGTATCTGTTGTAAATATTACTCAAAGTAAGTACTCGAGAGTAGTGAGTAGTGAGTATTATGCAGTAGAAAGCTGATACATTTACATGTCATTTGTGAATTTGTGCAAACGTAACATTCTGTAGTGCATTCATTTTTGCCCAGCAGGCACACAATGTCATAAGATGGTAATATTAGGTTAGATTTAGTTTGTGACGTCAGGTGACCAAAATTCAATGGCTAGCGTCTAAAGACAACATTATTTTGATGTCCAATAACGACGTCAAATTACATTGATTTTAGGTTGTGTTGGAAAGTGACTAAAATCCAACGTTAAGCCAACATCTTAAACCAATGCCATATTGACATCAAATACTGACATTTATTCAACAGGTGTGGCCACCAAAATCCAATTTCTGAGGACAATTTTGTCATATAAACAAATGCATATGATAATTTAGCCTCTCACAGTAGTGACTGCACTTTGAAGGAAAGTAGTGCAGTAAAAGTGTCAATACTGAATTAAAAATGTACTCAAAGGAAAGTAAAAGTGCACGTTTATAAAACTACTTAGTAAAGTACAAGTCTTGAGAAAAACTACTCGATTACAGTCATTTGAGTGTTTGTAATTTGTTACTTTACATTGTACTTTATATTGAATTCATATGTACTTTAGGTATGAATATATGGTAGTTTAATAATGAAATTTGGAATTTTTAAAGATCAATACAGTAGTTGAGTTCCATCCCTTTTAACAAACAATCTATTTATTTTATTCCCCCCTAGGTGGCGTCTCTCAGCGTGACCATGTGTCCATATTTTATGAATTTACGCAATCAAAAATACAGTCAAAACATAATCAAAAGTACATTTTAAATAATATAAAACATTAATTGTGACTAATTTATAATTTAATTGAAACATTCTATATGTATATTAATTTATTTGCATAAGTGTTTCATAATTTTTCATTCTTTTCTATGTAATTGCCTGAAATGTTGTTTACGTAAAATATCTTTTTTTTATTTAATATTATTTTATTACTAATATTTGTATTTCTGATTTATCTTTGTTATGAAGAATATTTAAAGAATTTAAATATATATAAAGTAACAAAAATAGCAAAGTTATGAAGCAAAAAATCATGACGGCGTTTTTTTGCTGAACATTTTTTACTTTTTACTTTTACAGTCATTTGAGTATTTGTAGTTTGCTACTTTACATTGTACTTTATATTGTATTCATATGTACTTTAGGTATGAATATATAGTAGTTTAATAATGAAATCTGGAATTTTTTAAGATCAATACAGTAGTTGAGTTCCATTCCTTTTAACAACCAATTTATTTATCTTATTCCCCCCTAGGTGGCGTCTCTCGGCGTGACCACCTTCACCCTGTGCGCTCTCTGCATCGACCGTTTCCGAGCTGCCACCAACGTCCAGATGTACTACGAAATGATCGAGAACTGCACCTCCACCGCCGCCAAGCTGGCCGTCATCTGGATCGGTGCCTTACTCCTGGCCCTCCCCGAGCTCCTAATCCGACAGCTGGTCTCCGAAAACGGCGACAATACGGTGGACGACCCTACATCCGAACGCTGCCTAATCCGCATCTCCACCTCACTCCCGGACACCCTCTACGTGTTGGGTTTGACCTATGAAGGTGCTCGATTGTGGTGGTGTTTCGGCTGCTATTTCTGCCTGCCCACGCTCTTCACTATTGGGAGCTCGGTGGCGACAGCTAGACGCATCCGACGTGCAGAACGTGGCTGCGCAAGAGGCAACAAGAAGCAGATCCGACTGGAAAGCCAGATGAACTGCACTGTAGTTGCATTGGCGATCGTTTACGGTGCTTGTGTGGTGCCTGAAAATGTGTGCAACATGGTTTCGGCGTATATGGCGGCTGGAGTCCCGCAGAGCACAATGGCGCTGTTGCATCTGCTCAGTCAGTTGCTGCTGTTTCTGCGAGCGGCTGTGACGCCGGTGCTGCTGCTCTGCCTCTGCAGACCCTTCGGTCGGGCTTTTCTGGAGTGCTGCTGCTGCTGCTGTGCTGATGCATGCGGGATCGCGGCTCATTCTTCTGCCACGGCTAGCGACGATAATGAGCACGAATGCACGACTGAACTGGAGCTGTCGCCGTTCAGCACTATGCGCAGAGAGATGTCCAACTACACCGCGACTGGATCGCACTGCTGAGCCCGCAACTGTACTGCGACTAGCACACGCTTCTGTCTGACCTGTGTACATACAGTCACCACACACCCATGTGTTGAAAAAAGAAAGAAAGAAACCAACAGTAATGTAGACTGACTTTTTTTTTTTTTTTTTGTATAATTGTTCTTAATATATATATGAATATATATACTGAACTAGCGACTGCTTTACTTTTGCAGTTTTCTGTTATTATTATTGTTTTTTTGCACTGCCAAACACTTTAGCTTTCTCTTCACTTGGTTTTCACACTCTTATTACATCGTGTCTACGCTGGAAGCCATTAGCTTTGGATCATGATTCGTTACGATTGAATTCATTTAGTAAACATGCAGCAATGTTATCTCTGACTGGAGTGCAATCTAAACAAACACCAATGGCAAATTTGAGGTAAAATGTTAAAATTTACACTAAATACTGTATAAATACTGTAAAAATATGGTATCTCTTGCCGAAAACTGCATGAGCTTCATGTGAAACATGTTTGAAATGCATTTGGAACAGACTGAAATTGTGGTTTTGAAACGTTTTCATGTTGTTTTTTGCATGTTTCCCAGTGATGGGTTGCAGCTGAAAGGGCATCCGCTGCATTAAACATATGCTGGACAAGTTGGCAGTTCATTTCGCTGTGGTGACCCTGGATTAATAAAGGGACAAATCCAAAAAAGAAAATGAATGAATGACAGATTTTATGGGAATAAAATGTTCCATTACCATATGTTTCAGGTCTGTTCTAGATGTATTTCACGTGATTTTAACGTGATTTCCTTTGAGGAAAGTTAAACATTATTTCTGTTTGGGCTTAAAGATACTGTAATATAAAATATATAATAATATGCTTTAATAAACATTGGCGATGCGGTGGCGCAGTAGGTAGTGCTGTCGCCTCACAGCAAGAAGGTCGCTGGTTCGTACCTCGGCTCAGTTGGCGTTTCTGTGTGGAGTTTGCATGTTCTCCCTGCATTCGCATGGGTTTCCTCCGGGTGCTCCGGTTTCTCCCACAGTCCAACGACATGCTGCAGGTACATTGGGTAGGCTAAATTGTCTGGAGTGTTTGAGTGTATGAGGGTGACAGGCCGACCGGAATGTGTAAAAAAGTCGTTATCATATGGACAAGTCTAAATGGAGGACTTGTTCCACAGAGCCGACCCTGCAACTATACGGGACTAAGGCCAAAGAAGAAGAAGAAGAAGATACTTTAATAAACATTCATAAAGATTTATTTTCAAAACAAGCTAACATTTAGAATGGTACATGTTGACCTGAGTAATAATTCAGTCAATAATATAGTCTTTTATAAAGCTGAAACCAAGTTTTTCATGCAAAAAATAGCATGAATTAAAATAATTTTATAAAAGTTTGGTTTACTTTATAATATTTTTGCATAAATGTATAAATATGTCTGTTTCCCCAGTTTCCATTAATCTTGAATATTTAGCTGAGATATAGCTATTTAAAAAATCTGGAACTTGAGTGTTAAAAAATTGAAGATTAGCTTTAAAGTTGTCTAAGTGAAGTGCTTAGCAGTGCACATTATCAATCAAAAAAATAGATTTTGATATTTTTGCTATAGAAAATTTACAAAATAACATGGAACATGAGCTTTACTTAAGGATTTATGAAATAACAAAATCAACAATTTTGAGTAATAGTCAAAAATACAGCTGTGCAACATAAGACTTTTGTGGTTCAGTCACATTTACTAAACTACCTGACAAAAGTCTTGTCATCGATCCCAGTTGAAAGAGCAACAAATAATAACTTGACTACTAGTTGATCATTTGGAAAAGTGGCAGAAGGTTGATTTTTCAGATGAACCATCTGTTGAGCTGCATCCCAATCATCACAAATACTGCAGAAGACCGACTGGAACCCACATGGACCAAGATTCTCACAGAAATCAGTCAAGTTTGGTGAAGAAAAAATCATGGTTTGGGGTTACATTCAGTATGGGGGCGTGTGAACGATCTGCAGAGTGGATGGCAACATCAACAGCCTGAGGTATCAGGACATTTGTGCTGCCCATTACATTACAGACCACATTAGAGGGCAAATTCTCCAGCAGAATAGCGCTTCTTCTTATACTTCAGCCTCCAGATCAAAATTCCTGAAAGCAAAGAAGGTCAAGGTGCTCCAGGATTGGCCAGCCCAGTCACCAGAAATGAACATTATTGAGCATGTCTGGGGTAATATGAAGGAGGAGGCATTGAAGATGAATCCAAAGAATCTCTGTCCTGCAAGAACGCTTTCTTTGCCATTCCAGATGACTTTATTTATACGTTTGAGTCATAGCAGAGATGTATGGATGCAGTCCTCCAAGCTCATGATGGAGTCAGACACGATATTCATTCTGTTTCCACTGCAGCATGACTTTATATTCTATACTGGACATTATTTCTGTTCAGTGACAAAACTTTTGTCTAAGCAAAGTCGGATCTTATTGTCCTTATTAAATAATTATAAATCAAGGTGTAATCATATTTTATTTTGGTTAAATAAGCGTAATCTAGAGGCCTTTGCCTTTCATATAAGCCACTTCTGATACCAAATGATCAACTATAAGTCTAGTTATTATTTGGAGTTCCTAAAACTTGGGTAGGTGACAAGACTTTTGTCAGGTTAAAATCCATTATTTTTCCAAGCAATTTCAAGGATATCTGTGACCACATAAGTGCTGAAAATGAAGAATAGCTGAACTGAACTCATATCTCCAGTGTGAACCAAACACTATCTAGTTTTCCTCATGTCGATGGCGTCCAGTGTAGACACGGTGTTCCTGTCGCACGGTGTGTTTCTGCATTTACTGAAAGTAACATTTCTCTAATGTTTGTAAATGGCTGTGTGTTGCGTGCCGTGACCTTTCTCTTGATGAAGGTGATTCTTGTGAATCGTTCTTGAAGTCTGTAGAGCAGATGTGTGGGTAACTCACCCGTCCACACCTGTATGTGTCTTAAACCTCCCACACAGTGCTCGTTCTAGTTAACGCTTTCTAAACGTTTTTATATAACCACAACCAAACGTCTCTTTAATAAACAGAACACGTTTGCCGGAAGAACGGCAAACCGCTATATGAAAACGCCTGCGTGCATTTCTTTTGTAGTGTGTGCTAATTCTGGCTTTTGTGTGTTCTCGGAGATAACTCGGAGTGTTTTGCTCGACAAAGATATGTTTTTTTTAAACAGTCACACTCTTTTCCTCTTGCATTATTCAAGGCCAGCAGCACGCATTCGTCCCCGCGTCTGTCTGAGGAATTGTTTATCCACATAAAAGCATTAGCTGTCAGGCTGCACATTGAACAGGCCCCGATGAGATCTTACTCTGCTCCCACGAGCTGGAGAAGGTGCTCTTTTATACTTCACATGTATTTTGAGGAGTCAGAAATGGAGCAATCTGCTATTTTCGGTCCTCTTTGAGGGAAGATGTTGACAGACAGGAACACTCTTTACATATGAAAATCTTTTAGTGCCACGGGTTGATTTGTTGCAGAGTAATCAGACTTTGTGAAAACTGTCACCTACTCATGTTTTATCTCAATCGTGCATGTGGAGAAATGATACGGGAACGCTTTGAATGGTGAAACTCACAAAATCATATCTGAATATGCGACAGTTGGCTCTAAAACCAAGATTACTTCATATAAAAATGAGGACAAATAGGACTAATTACATGAGCATTGAGCACATTTGCCTCAACTTTCTCCTAACTTTAAAGGGCGCCTATGGTGAAAAATCTACTTTTCAAGCTGTTGGGACAGACGTGTGTGTAGGTATAGTGTATAGACCGTCATATTGGGGTGATATAAACACACCCAGTCCTTTTTTTTTCTATTTAACAACATAAAAACGGTGGACCAATTGGAGCGGTTTTCAGAGCGACCGCAACTTTGCGTAGGAGTGCGGTCCCTCCGCCCACCAATATTGATTGACAGGCGCATCACCATATCCTCAGTTTGTTGTTTCACGTCTGCCATTTTCAGTGTGTGAGTCAAAGCAATTTCACTAAAGGAACACCCTTGCTCTATGTTTAGATGTAGGGCTCATTGGGCTCAACACAAGATCAACATTCACCACATGATCGCTCTCATCGGAATTATTGTTTGTAACTTTAGGTGGGTTTTCAAACATGTGTACTTGTCATTTCGTCTACCTTAAACTTCAGCCGTTTGCATTTTTTCGTGATCTCAGAAGCTCCCTGTGATCTTAAAGGGCCATGAAACCCCCTCGTTTCAGCAGGGGGTTTTCACACCTCTACTTTGGAAAAAGTCAGAAAAGTGGGCGTGTCCAGCTCTGTTTAGGGGGAGTGTCGGAGGAACTTAAGTGGGATGGTGTGGGAGTGTCTATTTGGGCACGCGCGAGTTTCAGAGTCAAAATACACACACACACACACACAAACACACACAGACAGGAGAAAGTGATGGTGTTTAACCTACTTGGACATCTGTAGTCAAATTATTTGCCAAATTATTAAATGGTGGACTCTAACTGCAGTTTGGCTCTTTCATTCAGGGAATTCATTCATGTCCCTCGCGACAAACGAGATATTTGATTCGAGGAGCTGCTGTAAGCGTGTATTTTTCATGCAATGTTTGATACCGCACGGCGAATGAGAGAAAAAAAACCTCTGCATTTCTCGGAAACTTAGATGCACACGGCAGGTAGAGTCAGAAAGCCGCGTGTGTTATTCCGATCACTAAATGCGGTGAAAATCCTACACAAGGTTAAAGTTTGGTTGTGGTGCTAACATGTTTACACTCTGTGCAATAGTTAACTTAATTCGATTCGAACAAACTGAATAAACAAAGAGCACTGGTCGCTCACTTACCAAATCTGTAGAGACAGGACAATCACCAGCAACTACTAGAGCCGCGTCTTTAATAAGAGGAGACTAAAGCGAATCCGGATTTCAGCGTTTGCAGATGACAACAGCTCTGAGGTAAACAATATTCCTCGTTAGACATGTAAGTTATTGTTGTCGAGCGTCGCGTA